ATAACCACGACTGAATACACAAAGTGTCACTAACTCAATGAGCCTACAATAAAACACTATGCTGACCTAAGACTCTTGAATCCTAAGAACTTCTCCAGGGCATGTATTATACGGGAAGACATTTTTCTTAACAACACATAGGATACACCTCTACATGCTTTATCACAGCAATCCACAAACGAGATCAATACCCAAGTTGGGGGGTATGAATTTCCTAACCTGTATCCTTGGAACGCTTAGGCGGGGGAATACATATTCTAATTCCCTGTAAAAAACTTAGAGGGCCTATAACCGGTCCTTTACGGACTCACAAAATCCACTTCAGTAGAAAAAAAGGGACTATAGCAAACAGCAATGAATAACCCCCTTCTAAGCAGGTGCTCACAGCACCTTAGGCCATACTAATGTCAGCCTGAACTGATTTCATCAACATTGACCTCCCAGCACAACAATAACTAACCAACAGACTCCTGACAAGTCACTATAAAGCAGGTTATGGAAAAGCACCACAAGTCAGTTTCCTGAATCAGGGGAATCGTGCTACGTACCTTTTTTGCGAGCAGTAACCACACGAATACAACAAAGTCCTTGGTTGATGAGGCTCTGGGAGTTCACAGGAAGGACTGGTCACAGACCAGGCCTGGTGATGCTGGACAGACCCAAACTCTCTATCAAAAACTGTCCATAAAAACGAAACAGATCACAAACAAACGGCTTGGTTGCCCATGGCTAACCAGCACCATTCTGAAATCCATTGATAAGAAACACCAATATGAAAAGCAATATAGACAGGGCTTAATACACAAAGATATTCTTAAACACTATTCATCAGTCCTCACCAAAGTAATAAAGAAAGCCAAACAACTATACTACTCCAGTAGATTCACTGACACAAGAGGAGATATAAAAAAGACCTGGAAAACACTCTCCAGATTCTAGGGACCCACAAACTGAAAAAAAAACAGAATATTGTCCTAACTAAACCTAATGAAACACCACTGCAAACCCACTGACACAGCTAACAAGATAAACGACTTCTTCTCAACCATAGGTTCTAATCTCGCCAATAAAATCCCACATACCAATGCCATGCCGGGGACTACCTAGATGGAATTTCCCAAATTCCTTCTATCTTGCTCCAACTGAGCCCACGGAAGTCACCGAGATTATAAAGTCACTTAAAAATAACTCAGGGAATCTGTCTCATGTCCCACCATTATTGTACAAGAGAGTGGCCCATGTCCTCTCGCATATTATCTCATTACTTTTTAAACAAGTCACTAGAAACTAGCACCTTCCCGAAATTACTCAAGACGGCAAGGGTTACACCAATACATAAAGGTGGTGACCCTACAGATTTTAAACAACTATAGGCCATATCAAACTTACCATTGCTATCCAAAATCTTTGAGAAACTCGTGCACAGGAGACTGTATTCATTTATAACGTCACAAAACATACTCAACCCCTGCCAATTTGGATTCAGGAAAAATAAAAGCACTAACGATGCAATCATAAAAATGCTAGATCTGCTTTACACAGCATTGGAAAAATAAGGAATATCCACTAGGAATTTTTATTGACCTAAGAAAAGCTTTTGACACAGTAGACCACGGCATCCTACTCCACAAACTTGACATTATGGTATAAGAGGCCATGCGCTTGCATATTTCAAATCTTACCTTATAATAGGTATCAGTATGTCACCATTAAAGACACAGCATCAGCAACACAGCCACTTGATACTGGAGTTCCGCAGGGAAGTGTCCTTGGTCCCCTGCTCTTCCTCATATACATCAATGATCTTCCAAACGTATCTCGACGACACGACTTATGTCATCTCTCACCCTAATCTTGCCACCCTCAACACCATAGATGAGAGTATCAAAGACTTGGATGACAGCCAATAAACTTACGCTTAACGTTGACAAAACCTACTACATTATGTTTGGTAGCAGAGCAGGAGATGCGCAAATTAACATTAAGATCGACAACACTCTAATTGCCAGGCATAATGAGGGCAAATTCCTAGGCCTATACCTAGACAACAACCTGAACTTCAGCACCCATATCCAACACATAACCAAAAAAGTATCCAAAACGGTTGGGATCCTCTCCAAGATACGATACTACGTGCCGCAAACTGCCCTTCTCACACTATACCATTCACTTATATATCCATACCTCACCTATGCTATCTGTGCTTGGGGTTCAACTGCAGCAACACACCTAAAGCCAATAATAACCCAACAAAAAGCCGCAGTAAGAATAATCACTAAATCCCATCCTTGCAACACACCCACCCCACTTCATAGATCTAAACTTACTCCCTGTTCAGTACATTCCACACTTACTACTGTGCAATCTACATCTACAGGACCTTAAATTCTAATATTAACCTTGACCTAAAACGCTTTCTTGATAGTTGTGACAGAACCCAGGCACAACACCAGACACAAACATCTCTATGACATTCCCCGTGTCCGACTAAACCTTTACAAAAATTCAATGTATGTCAAAGGCCCTAAAATCTGGAACACCCTACCTGAAAATTCCAAAACTGCAGACACATTCATCACCTTCAAAACTACCATCAGAAAACATCTTATCTCCCTGATACACCCTGTCAACTAATAATACGAATACCACCTGGTGGTTCACACTTAAACTCACTCACCCATTTGACCATAAACAGAAATATCAATCTCAATCTCAAAATAATGAATCTTAACTAGTCATAAGTTGGCCTGTGATACTCCAATACTCAAACTATGTATAATGCCAAAACAAAAGCATTCACATTGCTAAACTCACAACTAGTATTTAGTCACTTAGCCATAATACCAACTTACCTCATAATTTTGTAATATTTTAAACTTAAGATTTAATATAAGTCTGCTCGAAATGCCTAGCATGCTAGGTGTTCTAGTGGTACACTCTGTAATTATTATTTTACTACATGTAAACCACACAATAACCAAATTCTGTAAACTCAGCATTGTAATCCTTATAGAGAATAAACTTTGAATTTGAACTGAATTGAATTGAATTGTTTCTAGGGATGGTAATTGTACTTATGTGTACTTGCACTTAAATAACTTACGTACTTACCAGGAGCGCACAGGAGAATTACATCATAATTACAGCTACTTTGAGAATTGTAATAGTAATAATAATAATAATAATAATAATAATAATAATAATAATAATAATAATAATAATAATAATAATAATAATAATAACAATAATAAATCTTTATTTTTACAAGTACATGTAAAAGGTGTACAGTCCTAGCTGACATCAGTGACATACTACTATATAAATCCCCTAGTTATACAGAGCATTTCGGGCAAATTAGGTCAATTTTGTCGTCAGGATGCTACCCACACCAGTCGACTAACGACTACGTACCTGTTTTACTGATAGGTGAACATGGACAGTAGGTGTCTTAAGGAAACACGTCTTAATGTTTTCCACCGTGACAGGATGGGTATGGGGTGCATAATAAACATATTAAACTAACTGTTTTCACCCGTACTGAGGATCGACCCCCCGGACCACAGTGTGTGAGCTGAGTACGCTAGCAATCACACTACAGAACACCAACCAGAGTACTCTCAGATCAGTGAGATTTTGAGAATAGTTAAATTTAGACTGAAAGGTGCTGAAATCATTAGATCCATAAGCTGTTGTCACTAGAAACTTCTGCTAGCTTGATATCTTCATTATGTACCCAATACCTATCCAATGGGCGGTTGTCTATCATGGCACAAAGGGCCCAGGACTGGGCTTCAGCATATGTGTTTGCAAGCACGTTACAACATTAATGAACTATTTACACATTTATTGAATTTAGAATAGCAGCAATGAATTTACACAGTCTTGAATTCAGTCACTGAACATTAAGATGTAGTTAAATGTGGTTATGAGGGAGACTTTGGTTTTTTATTTTAAGCCACAGAAATTGTATAGAAAAATAAGAGGGTCTTGCTGCTAGGACCCGAAATAAAAACTGAGCATCTAATTCAGTTCACTTCAAACTTATGAGAAGATCCTGTTCTAGTATATCTTTGCAGCCTTGGGAATTCTAGTATGAACAAATAATGTTTGCAAAATGTGCTCGCTGTTAGTCAAACCTTTAAATGTATATAAAGGATGAAAGAAAATCTCGAGTAAGATACAGCAGTTTTTTTTGTATATTTTTTTATAAGCGATACAGAGATGGTCAATTTGAGGCAGAAAACAACTACATAAAAGTCAGAACATGACCGAATCGAAAATAAATTAATAATAGCTGCGTATGTATATAAATAATGCTGTTTTATTTAATAAATAATAGCATAAAGAAAAAGAGTAATAATCACATTAAGCCTTGTTCATTTAACAAAATTTGCAGCTTACAAATGAAAAAGAAGAAAGTTGGTAAGTTCAGAATACAGTGTCTAAACGTATATACAATGGTTTCTAATGCACTTCAAGGTGCATAATAGATCTTAGAAACTGGGAGCCTGGTTGATTTTAGAAGTGGCGAGCCTAGTGTATCCAGGAAGCTGGGAGACTGGTAGATCTAGGAAGATGGGAGACTGGTAGATCTAGGAAGCTGGGAGACTGGTAGATCCAGGAAGCTGGGAGACTGGTAGATCTAGGAAGCTGGGAGACTGGTAGATCCAGGAAGCTGGGAGACTGGTAGATCCAGGAAGCTGGGAGACTGGTAGATCTAGGAAGCTGGGAGGCTGGTAGATCTAGGAAGCTGGGAGACTGGTAGATCAGGAAGCTGGGAGGACTGGTAGATCTAGGAAGCTGGGAGACTGGTAGATCCAGGAAGCTGGGAGCTGGTAGATCTAGGAAGCTGGGAGACTGGTAGATCCAGGAAGCTGGGAGACTGGTAGATCTAGGAAGCTGGGAGACTGGTAGATCTAGGAAGCTAGGAGACTGATAGATCTAGGAAGCTGGGAGACTGGTAGATCTAGAAGCTGGGAGCTGTAGATCTAAAGCTGGGAGACTGGTAGATCTAGGAAGCTGGGAGACTGGTAGATCTAGGAAGCTGGGAGACTGATAGATCTAGGAAGCTGGGAGACTGGTAGATCCAGGAAGCTGGGAGACTGGTAGATCTAGGAAGCTGGGAGACTGGTAGATCTAGGAAGCTGGGAGACTGGTAGATTTAGAAGCTGGGAGACTGGTAGTTCTTAGAAGCTGGGAGACTGGTAGTTCTTAGAAGCTGGGAGCCTGGTAAAGGCCGGAGGGTGAAGAAGGTTCAGGTATGACATACCCGTTAATGCCATTTCCATTGCCATTACCTCCGTTGCTAATGAGTCCGTTACCATTCCCATTAGTGTAGCCGTTGCCTCCGTTACCGTTGCCATTTCTATACCCGTTTCCATTGCCGTTACCATTTACCACACCATTCCCGTTGCCGTTAACTACACCATTTCCATTTCCGTTACCAATTTTAAAGCCGTTCACTTTACCGTTGCCATTTCTATAACCATTTCCATTACCAATAGCCACACCATTTCCGTTGCCATTTCTATAGCCGTTAACCAAACCATTTCCGTTGCCATTTCTATAGCCGTTTCCATTACCGTTAACCAAACCATTTTCCGTTGCCATTTATATAGCCGTTTCCATTACCGTTGACCACACCATTTCCGTTGCCATTTCTATAGCCGTTTCCATTACCGTTAACCAAACCATTACCGTTGCCATTTATATAGCCGTTTCCATTACCGTTGACCACACCATTTCCGTTGCCATTTCTATAGCCGTTTCCATTACCGTTGACCACACCATTTCCGTTGCCATTTTTAAAGCCGTTTCCATTACCGTTGACCACACCATTTCCGTTGCCATTTCTATAGCCGTTTCCATTACCGTTAACCAAACCATTACCGTTGCCATTTCTATAGCCGTTTCCATTACCGTTGACCACACCATTTCCGTTACCATTCCTATAACCGTTTCCGTTACCGTTGATCACACCATTTCCATTGCCGTTTCCATTAATTACACCATTTCCATTGCCATTTTTATAACCGTTTCCATTACCGTTAATTGCACCATTTCCGATGCCATATCTATAGCCATTTCCATTACCGTTGCCATTTCTATAGCCGTTTCCATTACCGTTAACGACACCGTTACCGTTCCCATTTCGATAGCCGTTTCCATTTCCGTTAACCACCCCATTTCCGTTACCGTTCCCGTTTCTATAGCCGTTTCCATTACCATTAACCACCCCATTTCCGTAGCCGTTTCCATTCCCATTACCATTAAGTAAGCCATTTCCATTACCATTTTTATAGCTGTATCCATTACCGTTGCCATTTCTATACCCATTTCCATTACCATTAACTAAACCATTTCCATTACCATTTTTATACCCGTTTCCATTACCGTTAACCACACCATTACCGTTGCCATTTCTATACCCATTTCCATTACCGTTGCCGTTAACTACACCATTTCCGTTGCCATTTTTGTAGCCGTTTCCATTACCATTAACCAGACCATTACCGTTTCCATTTCTATACCCATTTCCATTAACTAAACCATTTCCATTACCATTTTTATACCCATTTCCATTACCGTTAACCACACCATTACCGTTGCCATTCAATACCATGCCTTGCCGTTCTAACTTCTCCATTCGTTCCATTCATCCGTTGCCGTTTAACCATTCCGTTAACCAGGTTATTATTGCCATTTCCGTTCCATTAACCACTCCATTTCCTTTACCGTTTCCATTATAACATTTCCATTACCATTACCGTAACGACCGTTACCATTTCCATTTCGAATGCCGTTTCCGTTGCCGTTAAAACCGTTGGATGGGGGTAAATAACGATTTCCTCCATTAGCAACTAAGCCTTTCCTTTCCATTAAATGGCACCATTTGCTGCGTTGATTCGTACCGTACCATATGCCATTAGACCGTTGCATTCAAAGCCGGAGCCGTTAATCGTTGCTGTTCAATCCTTCGATTCAATCGTTGCCGTTTAAAACGTTGCCGTTCAAACCGATTTCCGTTCAAAACCGTTGCCATTGCCATTTCCGTTTTCATTCAACGTTAGCCGATGCCTTTTCAATACCTCCATTGGAATAACCTCCGTTTCCATTACCCATTCCACCGTTTCATTGACCCATTACACATTCCACCGTTTTGCACACCTTGCCAATAAAACCATTTGTTGGAGGCAAGTAACTCTGTAGGCCATTTCCATTCACACTAACTCCATTAGAATGGCCTCCGTTACCGTTGACATGGACTCCATTTCCATTGCCGTTGATTCCGTTCCCGTTGATACCGTTGAGCTTGGCTGGCAGGGAGACACCGATTATACCTGTTTGGATGTAGACACATTATTAAGATTATATCGTTATTAACATCTGAGTCCACCCATCACATCACAAATTGTCAAAAAAAAAAACTTTGAGAGATGCAAGCATAGTCTGGTTTTTATCAAGTCGGTTCGTTTCTGTGGTTTTAAAACTACAAGAGGGTCACTTAAGGCTGTAAGAGAGCCATTAAGATTTCAAAAAGATTTTATTAAGGCCATTACAGGACTCTATAAGGACACAGGGTCCTTAAGACTGCGCTAGGGCCACTAAAATTGCTCGGGGATGATAAGAATTGGAAAAGGGACTCATCTATATGATTAAAACACGTGTCAGGAGGCAATGGTTCTGTCGACACTTGTTCTGTCACCTGACCAATAAAGCAACAACTCCACGAATGCTATAAAGACTGCAGGAGGGCAACTAAGACTGCAAGAACGCCACTAAGACTATACCAAGACTCCATTTCACTTGTACACATCCAGTCAAGAATCCTATAATTCGTAAAATAAAGATTATAGAAAGCTTCACTGTATATACATTGAGCAATATGCAGCTGTCAGTGTATCATACCAAGCATCATCTGAATGAAACAGCCGAAATAATGTGATACAAGAAAAAAAATCTGTGGAAGAGACACTGAAGCCATTCTCTAGAACTACTCAAATACAAAAAGACAAATTTTCTGTAAGCTTTCTTTAAAAATCTTCCTTAGATTTTGTTCCACACCTGATTATTATACTTACGAGCACTTACATAAATGAACTTGTCTTTGTAATGTCTTCTTCAGTGTGTGAGACCAATTACATCTATGAGTAGATGTCTTTAATAGGAGACAAGTGAGATTTAATTAAGATCTTGTATGCTTGAAGACTACTTAAGTCGGTCACGTGAGTCGCCTCACCTAAATGCATCCTAGTATTCAGACATAGGAAATGCTAATTAATGTCCTGGAGAGTGAGTGTTGATATACAGCATCACACACAGACAACAACCACTGACCACCAATTAACTTAACTGAGTTGGTAAACAAACTTTGCGACATTCTGAGGGGTCATAAAATTTAGAACTTTCTACATGACTTGGTGATGTAGGAAGTCAGGTAGATATATTCATATTGAATATATATACCTGACTTTTGTTATGATATTCTTACTATGCAAATTACAAGCTAGACGATAGATACGATATTCCTTGATTTGGAAAAAGACGTAGATAAGAGTATGTTTTAAATATTTAACAAAATACGGGTTTGTGATATAAAGTCCTATGCACTAACATGGTTGATGATTGGTTGTCTGGATGGAAGACGACGCAACAAGTGACCTGCAGAATGAGTTCAACTTGATACAGATTCTGTTTTTGACTCTTACAAATAAAATCGATAATGGGTAATAATGTACAAGCTAAAAAAAAAAAAATGCTAAATTACGGGCCAAATCTATTCTATATGAGCATCAAGAGCTGACTTAGAGAACTTATAAAACTGGGATAACAATTTACATATATAGATAATTATTGAAAAAACAAAATTATGGATATCAAAAACAGGGAGAAGATAATCTATAAGTTGAACGTCACAAAGAAAAATGAAAATAATCTAAATGTCCTGGGAGTAATAATGGTAAATAATTTTTAAGTAAGTATACTAGAGCAACAGAACTTAAGGCTTCATTAATAGATTATTTCAGCTTCAAGCCCAGACGTCTTCATGCTGTTTAACTGTTGATGTGCTATTTTTTTGCGAATTTTACGTTGAGTTATTGTCTGCATATATGTAGTTAAATTTGAAGATACTGATGGTGTTCAGACAATGTACGAAGACCATGAATTTTAGTTATGTAATACAACGTTGGTTGGTAGACAGCAACCGCCCAGGGAGGTACTACTGTCCTGCCAGTGAGTGTAAAACGAAAGCCTGTAATTGTTTTACATGATGGTAGGATTGCTGGTGTGTTTTGTCTGTCTCATAAACATGCAAGGTTTCAGGTACATCTTGCTACTTCTACTTACACTTAGGTCACACTAAACATACATGTACAAGCATATATATACACACACCTCTGGGTTTTCTGCTATTTTCTTCCTAGTTCTTGTTCTTGTTTATTTCCTCTTATGTCCATGGGGAAGTAGAACAGAATTCTCCTTCCATAAACCATGCGTGTTGCAAGAGGCGACTAAAATGCCGGGAGCAACTGGTTAGTAACCCCTTCTCCTGAATGCATTACTAAAGTTAAAAAGAGAAACTTTTGTTTTTTTTTCTTTTTGGGTCACCCTGTCTCGGTGGGATACGGCAGGTTTGTTGAAAGAAGAATAATTTAAATATCATCAAACAACATTCGGTAAGAATCTTGACTGGGAAAAATATTTCATTGCTATTCAGCCCAACATTATTAGTAAAATAAATCATAAAATTTTGCTGAAACGATTTCAGTTCAACGAAGTTAAGTAGTTTTTATATTTAATCCACCAGATATAGATGAATAACTGACCAGAAAATAATGAAGAGTAATATTATATATACGTTTAAATTGATACTCAGAAAATGAAGAATTAGGAAGTGTTTCAATAACTAGGTTGTCTAGGATCACTCATCGCTGTTGGAGTTTCTTTGATATACTTTTACGTTTATACACTTCACTTACGCACAGATCAACCACATTCA